TATTATGTTTCATTCACGCGTAAGAAGCCGTTACTGTTTTGCATTAAAGCATGTGTAGTCGTTTTTATACGTCTTGGAGACCAAAGTGAACATAGGCACAGACACGTCATTATGACGCGGTGTTTACTTTTGTCGCACATACACGTTAATGGCCTGCTTAGTAAAAAAAAACAACGAGATAATATGCTGGTCAGACACATTGACCAAACTCACGTGTCTATACAGACGTGACCAAACAGTAAACGTGATCAGACCCATATTGCAAGTTCACGTGACCAACCTCACATACCCATCCTCTTACATGTATACCCAAAATTCACGTGACTAGACTCCCATACTGGTACTCAAACTCCCGTGACCAAACTCCTGTGACCAAACCCATCACGTGACCCAACCCATCACGTGACCGAAGCCATCACGTGACCAAACCCATCACGTGACCAAACTCACGTGATCAAACTCACATGACTGTGTCCATTCACCTTAATCAGTGTGCATGTCGCTGTTAAGGTGTTGTGGTCAGTTTTAGCCTTTTCCAACTCTATAACATCAACGATCTAATGTAACCAAAACTCTGTATTCCTTAGAACTAAATATAGCCCTGTCAAAGCATGCAAATATAATATATACTGTAAATATTCTTGCATAAACATGATTTCTTTTTTCTCCATCTAGATATATACAGCAGTTAAAATCTTTGAAACAAACGGGGTTTTTTTATTTTTAAATGGATAAAACATGCAAACCGGATCTTACATCTAATGCTTAATTAGAGTACATTAAACTTCTCAAAGCTACCGGTGTTTAAGATTAAGATTAAGATAAAGATAATACTTTATTGTCCAAGATGGGAATTTTTCTTAGCGGTACAGGACCTTAAATATTATTATATTATTATAGTCTGAGACCCCTACTTCACGCAAATATTAAAATGTTATAAAAGAAAAGGTAATAAAAACACTAAATGATAATAATCATGTTCTTTTTCGTTTCTTTTTTTTCAATACAGCAACTTGATCTATCTTCAGCAACCTTAATCTTTAAAGATTTCAGTTTAAATGTTAAATATTTCACCTGGAGAAAGAAGATGTTGTTCAGCCTTCAACAGATCCAAGTGATCTTTGAAATTATAAGTGAAGAACATTAGTTATAATCAACTCTTTTGTATACAAATTTTAAACAATTATAGCTCATACTGACCTTTTTTTGTCTCCCGCTTCTTTGATCTTCAGCGCTAAGACGCCTCAAGGAGCAGCCTAGGACCGAGTGGGATTTCCCGAATATAAAAATAGCCACTCTGACAAGCGAGCACCATGACGTCATCTGTCTGGCGGACTAGAGGACACCATTGTGGCTTGATGCGAGGCCTCAAAAAACATCAGACAATACACCTTCTTTTTGGATGATGATGATGATGATGATGATGATGATGATGATGATGATGATGATGATGATGATGATGTGTCTAGTAAAGTGTTTAAAACCATACAAAATAAGCATGTTATATAAACTAATGTTTTTTGAGGTTTTTTGTTTGATTGGTTGTCTTTTGTTTTCAATCCCTCCTTGGTAAACATGAAGTTTTAAGTTTTCAAAATCATAATAAGATTTTTAAAAGTACTATATAAAAGATGCGTACATTGTATTATGTATGAACATATAATATGTTGAAATAGTAGTTTATACCCTGAACAAAACACATTATGTACAATTTGCCTTCTACTATAATAATAATAATAATATTAATAAAATAATAATAATAAAAATAAAAATAATATTATATCGAATGAAATGTAACATGAGTTTTTAAAAACTCGTACTCTGTATTTGTATTATTTTGTCAGTTCGATTGTACATAGATTGACATTGATGTGGTTTGGGAAAACAGTTTGGACTCAAGTGTTGAAAGTTGTTGCCTCCAAGCAGCTGAATGTTATCATCACTTGGAAACAATTAATATTATTATAATACATTTATTGTGTGTTACTAGGCGATCTTTTTTCAAAGGAAACTCACTCTCTCGTGAGTCTTCAATGACTTGATTCTGAGACCTTTGAGTCGGGAATTCTTTCTTAAAGTACTCACTGTATAATCACCGCAAAAGGAGCTCTGTTAGCTAGTTCGGTTATTGCTACACCTATGATTTAATTAAACAACCATAAAAAGAAGAAGAAAAAAAGAATGCAATTAAAACGTTAAATGTGAGGACACATCACACTTCATGAAACAAAATTTAGAAATATCTTGATGATTTTTTAAAACATTTTGCGATTCGTTTACAAGCTCCTCTCATCACAAGTTATACAACTATAAAAGAATATAGTTAATTTTGTGTAAAATCAACTATAAAGCATTAACTTACACATTCCTAATTTTCCGGCAGCTGGTGGGCATTCTTTTTGTCTGACAGGAAAAGAAAGTTCGTCAGTTTCATGGACGTGTTATTTATATTATGGCAACGGTGTTATACTTTATATTATTCGTCTTGGTTCCATATCTCTAGTTTTGAAAGTTTATTTTAATTAGTTTATTTTCTTATATAGTTTGCTTGTGAGTTATTTATAGCTCAGGTTTGAGGGTTTTGAATTATCGATAAGCAAGTTTCTTTGTTGCAATCGCACAAAATTTCATTGCTTTAGTATAACAGTGTATGAGGAGACAATCATGCACACGCACCCCCCTCTTTACACACACACATATACACACGTCCAGACACACATAGACAAACGTATACATACATAATACACTTACACATGGACACACACACACACATACACACGGGCACACACGGGCACACACACACACACACACACACACACACACACACACACACACACACACACACACACACACACACACACACATAAACATAACTCAGTTCAATAACAAAATTATTTTAAATACATGCACTCAACCACAGTTCTGATATTTGCAAGTCGTGATATTTGCAAGTTTTTCTTCTTTTTTTTTAAATTATGCGAGCGACGATGTTGTGTACCCTTGTCATCCAAGATTTCTGTGATAAATAAATTAGAACCTCAGATTTTTTTTTCAAAGATCTCGTCCTTAAGACTTGAATCGACAGTAATACCAATAATTGTTTTAAAAGCTATTACTAATTTCTCTTCAATCTAATCTTACGTTGTTGTACATCTTGATATTCTTCACCTAAAACCTAATAAATTCCTTGATCGGCACGCAAATAATTTTACCAAGTAAAAACTAATATTTGGTTTGTATACATAATATCATAAACTTTTTCTTTTATACAAAAGGAGCCATGATAGCGGCCAGCCTGAATTCTGGTTGGCTGGAAATTATGAGAAGCACTTGGCAGATTTTGATCTTTTGTTTGTTTGTTTTGTTCTGGCTTTTGCTGTTGTTGTTATTTTGTTTGTTTGTTATTTTTGTTTGTTGTTTTTTTTATCCTGGGACGTCAATGAAGTATGTTTCTGTTCTAGATTGAGTGGAGAGCTCGAAAAACACCCCAGATCCTTAAATACATGTGTCTAATTATTTTAGTGCAAATCATTTGACTACATCAGTATATATAGCAGCACAAGCGCCCACTGCAGTGAGCTTTACACTGAAGTTTGCAAGTTGAAATTGCAATCCCCTTTCCAGACATATTTTTCCTATGTGCGTCAATTTCCGTTTCGTCCCTTGCAGTTATAAGCTTCTGAATGAGACATTCCATGCTAGCTCTATATTTTGTTAAAGTGAAAAGAAAAAGAAAATGGTGGGTGTTCTGTTTTTGCATCATTCTAATCTTGTTTGGGAATTTCTTTTTTGGAAAAATGCTGTTTGGATATTTTTTTAGCCCTTTTCTACTCTTTGATTACCAGAAATTGCGGATCTTTTTATAATAATTATATTATCTAAGATTTGTTGGTCTATTGCTCCGTGATCACGTAAATGAGGACTTCAGACCTGAAAACTAACGTCAGTCAAGATTTGTTGCTAAGCTGAAGGGTTTCTTGCTTTCTGCGCGAAAAAGAAATGCTGTTCTAAAATTCCAGCCACGGCTTTTTAAAATCTAGTGTGCTTATATTCAACTCGAGATGTCTGGTTGGCTCAATTTTTGTTTTTATTTCGATAATTTTCCAGTATCTATTCATTATGTATTTCGTTTGCTTTTGTCAGATAAACATTGGGTTCATTAACTACATCAATTTCTATTCTTTTTTTATTTTTTTTATTTTTAAAAAATTAATTTCACACCTGACCTATTTTTTCGCTTCTCTGTCTCACAGTTAACTTTAATTTTCTATTTTCTTCTTTCGCCTGTTCCCCAACTCTCTCTCTCTCTCTCTCTCTCTCCCCCCCCCCCTCTCTCTCTCTCTCTCTCTCTCTCTCTCTCTCTCTCTCTCTCTCTCTCTCTCTCTCGCTCTCTCCCGCTCTCTCTCAGCTCTCTCTCTCTTTCTCAGAGAAGAGACACCTCTCTGCATCCCTCCTGCCTTGTGCCTTATCCACCACAAGAGGGTTAATGAACACAAAGAAATCGACTTTGCTTGTTACAACAACCCAGCAGCTTCAACTATCAATGTTCATCATAATTCGAGGACAGCTTCTGTAGGATATTTATTCATTTGATTTCTTTTCCAATCAATCTAGCATCCTGGTGTTTGTCCTTAGGAAGATTTTTCATTGAGGATTAGAGCAGCCGAGAGAAATTACACAATCGAAATAGGTGCCGGTCGATGTTCTGATATTCATAAGGCCACTGATTCCTTTTGGTGATAAGAAAGGATATTAGAATTGTGGAATTTGTGATAGTTTTACCAGACTGTTTCTTTCATTCCATTTTGTGTCTTTTTCTTATCTTATACTTTCTTGGTATAGTTGGGTTGGCGTGCCCTTTTTTGTTTACAATTATTTCGCTTTTGTATTTATATTCACTCCTTTAAATGCATGTGTTTGCTGTCACAGTATTACAGACAACTAACCACTTGTTTGAATGTAAATTATTTTTCACGCCCCCATCGACACAAGTCAGATCTTTTGGGACGTGGGTGGCTGCCACTCTGTCAGTCTTGGCCATCAAGTCGAGGTGGGCTGGGCGGAATACAATACCCGAACAAAAAGACAGAGATCATGCTTGATAAGTTGATAAGGCAGACATCCCATCGTGGGAATCGAACACACCTTTCTTGCATACGAGTCGAAAGGGCTAACTAACCTCCACACCACATACATTGGTCATAATGTGTTTTCAGTTTTTGTACAATAACAACCGAAAACGTTAGATGTGATTTGGTTGCTTTTAAGGACAAGCGGGCTAACCGAGATTTCAAGGGTTTCCAGAAATCTTGACCTACACCAAAAATGGGTATTGCCCTACCTATAGAAGAAGTTTGGTTCCATTTGTGTGTATATTTGTTTGGTTATAAAGAAAACTCTCCTTGCTTTTTAAAGAAACTGAACAAGGGGTTAAAACTTTACCTTCGATTTTCTCAAAACAACATTTTTCGGGATAGCCCCCTTGTGCTTAAAAGCGCCCTTTTGTCGGGTGGGGGTGTTTGTTGTTCCTATATAATACTGAGACAATAATTTCATATTATCGAATTCCGTCCGTTGTTCAAATTCAACCTGTTGTGTGTCACTCCGTTGTATGTTGACCTGAGTACCCCCACCATTCATAATGGTAATAATAATCATCATCATGATTTATTGGATTGTAAGTTGACTTTCATACATTTTTCAGTTGTCATTTTCAATTTTGGGGAAATCAGTTTTGGGACTGGCACTTTTTAAAAAAAAAATTGTTATGAGGTCTGGGCTTTGGTACTGTACTGTTTGGATTTTCCAGTTCTTTTTCCCCCTTTTTTGTTTTTTCTAAAAAATGTATTTTTCTTTTTATTGTTACAGGTATATTTGGTTTTATTTTTACATGACCAAATTCATGGCATATTATACGAGTGTGATCAAGCAAATAGCAAATGATTTATCCTATCACGGTGCACTTTATATTTGTTTTCTTCTTTTCCGACGAATCGATTTTTTTTTTCAATTTTTCTTCGTTTTTTTTGTTGTTGTATGGGTTTGTTTTTCTAAATCAATAACCTTGACTTGTTACTTTGAGGACACTAGTAATGTTCTCAATTTCCTTCTTGCTCTTCCTTCTTTCTTTCCACCGTATGTGTCAAACCGACTGTCGATTATCTTTTGTCTTTTCCCCTCTCTCTCTCTCTCTCTCTCTCTCTCTCTCTCTCTCTCTCTCTCTCTCTCTTTCTCTCTCGTTCTTTTATTCCCAAAACCTGGCTCTGACCTCCTCTATTGCTCTGCTTCTGAGTGTATTTATCTGTATATCTCTCTATCTATTGCCCACTGTCCCTCGACATACTCCACCCCCCCCCCCTCTCCCCTGTTTTTCCCTCTTTGCTCTCAACTGTACAAAGTGATAATAATATGCGCACATTTGCATATGTTCATGAGCTAGACCGTTGCGTGCACCTGTGTAACATTGCCTTGTTATCAGTTACCACAAATACTTATGGAGTGAATCTACCAATGGGTTTTCTGTGACGACCTTCGATCTGTGACCTATGACCTGTTTCTCTGTACGCCAGGCTTGACTTGTGATTAACAACTATAAATAAAACATTCTTTTAGAACAAGATATTGCCTCTGTTTTTTTTGTTGTTGCCGTTGCTGGGGTTTGTTTTGTTTTTTTTGTTTTTTGGGGGGTTGGTTTATTTTGTTTTGTATCTTTATTTATTCGTTACTGTTTTTGTTTTGTGTCTTTGTTTGTTTTTGCTTCTGCTATCAAAATTTTGTTTTTGCTCTGAGATGCTTTGGCTGATGCCGCTACTCCTGATGTTAAGCGGGCAGTGATGTCGCCGTTATTGTTTTCTCTCTCTCTCTCTCTCTCTCTCAATCTCTCCCCCTCTCTCTCTCTCTCTCTCTCTCTCTCTCTCTCTCTCTTTCTCTCTCTCTCTCTCTCTCTCTCTCTCTCTCTCTCTCTCTCTCTCTCTCTCTCTCTCTCTCTTTCTCGATCTTTATTTCACGTCGTCCCTGGATGCCATAATTCATATTTTTGTTAATGCTGCAGTTACTGCTGTTGTTGTGTTTGTTGTTGTTTTTGTTGTTGTTGTGTTTGTTGTTGTTGTTGTTTATGGGAAGGTTGAGAGGTACAGGAAAAGAAACACACTCAAAGAGATAGATAGATAGATAGATAGATAGATAGATAGATAGATAGATAGATAGATAGACAGATATAGATTATCGAATCGATTTGATATTGAAAACGAAAGAACACATCTTACAGGGAAAAGAAAGGGATGGGGGGTAAGAAAGAGTAGCCGAAGAAGTAAAGCCAGAAGTAAAAAAAAAAACATGAAAGAAAAGAATAGGAACTGAATAAAAATCAGGAAGTTTTTTCTTAACTTTTTGTCATGGAATTCAAATAAAATACTTGGATTTAACCTTGCTTTCAAAATCAAAAGCAAGGTTGGCAAGAAAGCATGAAGTTGTGTGAGTGAGTGTGTGTGTGTGTGTGTGTGTGTGTGTGTGTGTGTGTGTATGAGTGTGTGTGTGTGTGTGTGTGTGTTAGTGTGTTAGTGTGTTAGTGTGTGTGTGTGTGTGTGTGTGGCGTTGCTAAGGTTACACACAACTAATACATAAAGAGAAAAAGAAAGAAAGAAAGAATGAAAGAAAGAAAGAAAGAAAGAAAAACAGACAGAAAGAAAGAAAGACAAAAAGAAATACTGAAAGAAAGAGAGATACAACACCTAGATACATGTACA